AATCAAACAAAATAAAAAAAAACAACAAAAAATAAAAAATAATAATATTACATTAATTTACTGTCAACGGCAGCACAATTACATAAATGTATTGTCAACGGCAGTACAATTACGTTAATTAACTGTCACAGTATAATTAAGTTAATTTATTGTCAGTGACAACACAATTACGGTCAACGTTTAGCGGCGGACATAAAAAAAAAAACCAAAAAAAAAAAAAACTTAAAAAAACACTTAACAAAGTCAACGCCAGAGACTGGCAAAAAAATCCGGAAGAAAAGAAAAGAAAAAAAATTACACATAAATACAAGCTTTGTGGTCAAATTAAAGTATATTAAAGTATGCTCCAAAAAAATTAAGTTAATGATAAAATTAGAGCATATTAAAGTATGCTCCAAAAAAATCAAAATTGAATTTTTGTGGTCAAAATCGGATTTCTGTGGATAAAAACCTAAAATAATAAACATGCTTGGTTGGGACTTACGCACAAAAACCCCTTTATTGAATTAAAATTATAGTAAGGGGATCACTATTTCAAATCCCAACTTTTGCTTACTTGAATACCAAAAAAATAAAAGATAAATAATTAATTGTAAATTACTTTAATACCCTTAATGAAATTAAAACCAAAAAAATATTACAAATACTATTTTTCTTTCTTAAATACCAAATAATCAAAAACTCAAAAAAACCATTTCCCTCCTTACTCACAAACCCCTCACCTCCTCCACCTCCTTCTTCTCCCTCCCCAAAAACCCTTCTAAAAAATCTTCCTCACAACAAACCCTTCAAAAAAATCTCACAACAAACCCTTCTAAAAAATCTCAAAACTAAAGAAATTAAAACCTCACAAAACGTATAAAATTGAGTTATAAGACAATAACATGGTAGTATATATGAAAGGAGAACACATTAAGGTAAGTATCGATGTCTTTTTTGAGCTTCGAAGTCGATTTTGAAGTTTTTTTTTTGAAACCCGCCGGCAATTTTCGACACATACAGGTTGATTTTTTGGTCAATTTTCGACACCAACGTGTCGAAAAAAAAACAAATTTCGACACATACCTGTCGAAATTTGGACGTCGAAATTTGTCCAAATTTCGACAGGTATGTGTCGAAAAACGCTATTGGTAAAAAAAAAAAAAAAATTTATTTTATTTTTATTTTTTTTACAACAGTGTTTTTCGGCACATACCTATCGAAATTTGGAGAATTTTCGACAGGTATGTGTCGAAATCCGTTTTTTTTGTTTTTTTTTTTTTGACACGTTGGTGTCGAACATTGACCAAAAAATCGACCTGTATATGTCGAAAATTGCCGACGGGTTTAAAAAAAAAACTTCAAAATCGACTTCGAAGCTCAAAAAAGAAAGACATCGATACTTACCTTAATGGCTTCTCTTTCCACACATACTACCATATTAGCGGTCTTGTTAGCTTCTTCGGGGCGCTTCATTTCAGGCAATTCGATAAGTTTTAAACCTAGCAAATCGTCAAATATTCCAGCCACATCGGTGTCGAGGAATGGATATTCCCTTGCTTGCATTTCTTTTAGAGTAAGTCTTCTTCTTTCTTGGGAAAAATCTTGTTTTTCATCATTGTTTCTGTTCACTTTTCCTTGAAATTTGATAGGGGTTGCATTCACTGCCAAAGATTCTTTGCTTGAGGTCTTAGAGAAAACTCTACCCCTCTTCCGAAAGTCTTGTTTTTCTTTGGACTGTCGAGGCTCTTGAACTGGTGGTCCCTCAACTCCACTAGCCATAATGCTCAACTCCATGTCATGCGCTCTAGTGGCCAACTCTTCGAAAGTCTTAGGTTGAATCCCTTGCAGGATATATCGGAGTCCCCATTGCATTCCTTGAATGCACATCTCGATAGCTGAAGGCTCTGACAATCGATCCTTGCAATTCAGGCTTAAATTCCTCCAACGGTTAATGTAGTCAATGACGGCCTCTTCTTTCCACTGGCGAGAGTTTGTGAGCTCGATCATGCTCACTGTTCTTCGGGTGTTGTAGAAGCGATTCAAAAATTCTTGCTTCATTTGACTCCAACTGTCAATTGAGTTCGGCTCTAGGTCCGTATACCAATCAAAAGCATTCCCCTTCAATGATCGGACGAATTGTTTCACGAGGTAGTCTCCAAAAGTCCCAGCATTGTTGCAAGTTTCAACAAAATGTGCCACATGCTGTTTTGGGTTGCCCTTGCCATCAAATTGCTGAAACTTCGGGGGTTGGTAACCAATTGGCATCTTCAAGTCGTCTACTCTTAGAGTGTATGGCTTGGTGTATGTTGACGATGATTTTGAACCCTCATCGAATTTGTTCTTGATAGTTCCCATGATGAACTCCTTCAATTGGTCTATAGGAATCAACCCCTCTGACGAAACCTGGAATTCTTCAGCTGAGCTCTTCTCCCTATCGGTTGGATGTCGCCTTGCAGAAGTTTCAGCTTCGGTGTGATTTTCACCTTGTTTTCCCATGTCGTGACTACCGTCAACTTTGTTCCTCAATATCGCGATTTGGGAGTCTTGTTCTTGAATGTGTTTTGTTAGCCCTTCAATGGCCTTGGTCAAGCTCGCCATTCGCTCATCCATGGTCGTAGCATGTGTTGTCATAACGGGGGCCACCTCAGAGTAGTTTGATGTCGAACGGGACGTGGATGATGAAGCTTCTCCTCTAGATCCTTTCACGTCTTCACATGTGTTGACGAGATGTGATGAGCCTTTCTCAATGATTTGCGGTGTCGAGCTAGTCACAGAGGATGCCTGCAGTTTCTTAGCCATACTCCTTGTAACTACGCCTACACTTGATGAATTCGAAGTAGCAGCCTTCATCGCGAGCGGTTACCGTAACACTTCGAGGATCTTCGAGAGAGAGAAGAGATGAGAGGTAGAGATGTCCCACCGGGCGTGCCAAAATTTGTAACAACAAATTCTTATCTGCGATATAAACAAACAAGAAAAATTGAACAAAGATAATTTTTATTTATTGAAATAAAAAATTGCGGGTTACAATCTCTATTTTAATCCTCTGATTCTTCTCTCTAGAACAATATATGGTTGACTTGAATTTTCGGAGTCGAGTCGTTGACTTGATCTTCTCCGGATTTGATTTTGGATTTGAATAACGTTTTCCAAGGGTCTTGCGACTTGAATCTCGGATCTAACGTTGAACTTTGGCTAAATTTGACTTGAAGATCTTGAAATTCTTGATGGATTTGGCCCTTCAATCTTCCAATGATCTTGACTTGAATTGATTAACGTTAATCCGAAGGTTTGGCACCGTTATCTCGGATCGAACGCTGGATTTGATGAAGAATGCCTTGAATTTGCTCAAGAACACCTCGAATTTGACGAAGAACACTTTGAATGTAGAGAGAGAATCTTACCTCCTACGAATTCTTCTTCCTTGCTTCTTGAATTGTAGATAATTCTTTTGCTCATACGGTTTCTGCTCCTTCAGTTGTGTGTTTTGAATTGTGAAGGGAGGGTCCCTATTTATAGTGGTAGAATAAGAGTCCTTGATGGGCCTCACCGATAATGTGGCGCGATTTGATTGGCCCAATTTAAATTGATATTTATCTCTTTATATATGTGACCGCATATATACGGGTCTTCAATTGGCATCTAAGTCCTTTGGCTATGTATAATTACACAAATGCCATTGAATCAAACTTTATTCCATATATAATTTAGCCATTTAATTGGCTTAAATTTTATTCGTCTACAGCAAGAATATTGGTTTTTATCTAAGTGTTGAGAGAGAAAAAGACCGCCCAGCTGTGTTTTTGTTTTTTAACATTTTTTTGTAAGTTTTTAACAGAAAATGTAACATAGTTAATTTGTTCAGTAGTTTATTAACATTGATTGAAAACGGGCCCTGAGTTTCGAAAGAATACATCAAATTGTTCCAATTTGTAGTTGAGGGGGCATTTTGAATCGAATTCTATGTTTAGTCTGGGGTGTATACAAATTGTTCCTATAAAATATCTGGAATGATAAATGCATAAGTGTACGACTTCTAGTAAACGCTGAATATTTGAATATTTTTCTAATTTTTAGAATTAAATTAGGAAAATTCATATAAACTCGAAATTTATTATCAAAATATTAACTTTGGTCGAAACTTTGACCTAAGAAGATTTACATGCTAGAAAAAATGTGTCTCATAGGTGCAAATTCGTTCTCATGGCTCAAAAATTCACCAAAAAAAAAAAAAAAAAAAAGATTTTAGTCCTTAAACATTTTGTTCCACTTTCAATTATACTAGCATTTTTCCCCCGTGCGATGCACGGGATATTATTTAAATAGTGAAAAAAATAATCAATTTAATACATAATAAGAAAATATAATACAATAAAATTTAATAATGTAGTATTATTAGTATTATTCATATTGAATTTCTATCTTTATCTCTTAAGGTTTGAGATATATTAATGAAAATTAGGAGATCAATAAGTGTTGAAAATTATAGTTAAAAAAATAGTACAGAAAAAATATTAAAAATAAATAATTTCATAAGTAGCAATAAGGTAGGATTCTTTAATTTACGGGTTAGTTTTAGTTTTGATAATTGTTAAAAATTATAGTTAGAAATTAGTAGAGAAAAAATATTAAGAATAAATAATTACAGTAATACCATTAGGGTTTTTTAGGGTTGCCCAACGTTTCTTTCTTGTATATATAAGATATATAAGATTATGCTCCAAATACGATAGATTAATTTCATTGATGATTAATAATGGTATTATGATAAAATAATATCATCGAAAACTTGCCAAAAATGGTTTGAGAAAAGAAACTATGAGGTAGTGTCAGATTTTGCTATTTTATTAAAAGTTGTCAGGTTGATTAGGATTTAGGGTTTTCAAGAAATTCTGATTTTTTTTTTCAATTATAGAAATTGCAATTTGGTCCCAACATCGAAGGGGCAGTTCTGTGAGAAAAAACCTCAACAAAAAACTTAAGCTATAGTGAAACGTAACATTTGAAATGTATAATTTTATTACTAACATCTCAATTATTAAACTCAAGAAATAAACAACAAGTTAAAGTTTGGGTCTTATGAAATTCTAAAAACATATAAATAAAAACAAGAAGCAAACGAAACAATCAAAACTCAACACTCACTACCTAAGAATTGCCTCTCATGGATTTTTCGCTAGTCCCATTGATCTTCATAGATATCTTCATAATCCAAAGGCCCGATTTCCACCGATTTGATGATGCTAGTGTTGACGATGCTAGTGTCAGTAACCTCAGAAAGATCGTTCTCCAACGCGGTAACCAACTTCTCAAAGTAACTCTTCGTAATACTCGTCAAATCCACGACCTTTTCCCTAAACGCCACGAATTCGTTCAACGAGCAATCCCCCTTCGCGTACGCTTTCATCTCCTTCTCCGCACAATGGTGCAGCCTCTCGAGATTGAGCTCCGCCTGCCCTTGCAAGAACTCGAACAAGGCAATCTTCGCGGCCTTTTCGGAGCAGCACAAGTAGTACGCGTACGCGTAGCTCCACTTGAGCACGCGCCTGCACTCGACAATCTGCTCCCACGCCTTGACCGCAAACTCCATCTGCACGCCCTCAACATTCTGCACGGCGTTCATCAGGTTGTCCCTGAGCTCTTTCCGCGCCCAGTCGAGGCACGACAAAGCTATACCCCTCGACTTGTGGTTGCCCGCCCATCTCTCGTAGTAGTGCGCGTACCTCTCCAGGTATTTCCTCGCGCCCATCACCGCCTTGTCGCACGCCGCGTCCTTGTACCCGTTGCATATGTGCGCGTTGTCCCAATTCCCGAGGCACAGCCAGCAAAACTGGTGCCCGCATGACTTGCCGCACGTCATGTGATTGCACCCGTCGTTTTTCTCGATGCTCCGTTTGCACTTCGGGCACGGCTTCGTGTACGCCATTATCCAGGTCGTGTTCTCCGCCTCGGAATTTTTCAGAATAACCCACTCACTACAACATTTAAGGCTTTATACGACGAAAAAAAACCGTCGGGAAAAGTGAAAAAACCGTCAGGAACATTATTCATGACGGTTTTCGACCGTCACAAAACCGTCAAGAAAAAGGCCGTCGTATATACTTTCACGTGTAAAAAAACCGTCAGGAATAATATTTCTCGACGCTATGATAACCGTCGTAAATACTCATACATATTTTCAAAACCGTCGAGAATACATTTCTCGACTGTTGAAAACCGTCGGGAATACTGGTACATATTTTTTCAATATTTTTTTTCATAAACAATAAACCTTTACAAAAATTTAACCGCATGCCAAAAATTCGTATAATTTTCCAATACGAATATAAACACATGCTAAAAATCACTCGGATTCCCCAAAACATGAATTATTGCTTTCCAAAAATATACAATACCAAACTTCAAAAAATCTATCTTCAAAACAACACTTGAAGTAACCTACACAATACATTTACTTTCAAAGTCTACATATCCTTAGTTCAACAAAATGTCCTTGCTCCCATGCTCCAATGTAAAATGTGTTCCTGAACAATCAAAGGAGAAAAAAAAAAGTTAGTGTTCCTGAGTAAGCAAAATTCATGTTTCTAAAGCTTATAAAACTTGTTGTATACAACTTTTTTTGTGCAAAAGACCATGAAATTCTAAAACCCCAGAAAAAGTGGTTCAGCACATATGACAATGAGAACAAGAAAGTCTTTTTGAGATTTTTTCTGATATTCGGCAAACAATGTTGCAACCCACAATTACGATGCTAACCTAACCTACAAAATAAGAGATACCAGTGAGCTGCAATGCAAGAACTTGCGCTTGCATTATATCGTAAAAGCTACAGCTTGTACTATGGATAAAAAAACCAACGAAATACTATATGCTATTTATGCTGTGAATACATTTAGCAGAAACGAATACCTGGATATAGGCATATTGTCAGTAGCAATCCAATAACTTTACTAGGTGAAACAGAACATTTCGATACAATAGAGCAGGCCCTTTATTGCTGCCAATCTTTGATCTTAATCCCCTAATTTGTAAAGTTCATCATATAGTTTTCAGTGATAAAGTAGCAGTCGGCATAAAAATTTTGAAATCAGATAGCAAGGCTGGATAAAATTAACTCATCATATATTTATGAAAAGATATTGAAATGGCGTAAGATATATCAAACCATTCCAACAACTGAACCATGGCAAGTCCTCCCTGCACATAATAAATGTATGTAAAATGAGTTTAATCATTTTTAAGGGTATAATCAACTCAACCATTTATAATTTGCAGCACAACTAGGAAGAAAAGGGATTCTTAAAAAAGGAGAAGTCACCATACCATACCATGTGCTATAGTTAGAGCATTGTATATAAAAACATCCAGATACATGTGGAAAATGGAACAAAAAATTTACGAAGCAATCCGACTTTAATTTTTATAAACCGAGCAAACGAGTTTAGAACGACAAGTAGGAAACAGAGTTTATATAATGAACATAATAACAACAAAAGCTAGCGTTAGACCTGACTTAATTGCTTCCGCTCTTCTTGGCCATAAAAAATGCCTATATTTTCTGCCATCCAGCAACTACAATAAACAAACAACACAGAGAGAGAAATCTAATGAAGTTGATGAAGAAAAAATGAATCTAAAATTTGAATAATCAAGCATAGAGAAACTATTTCTCGGAATGTTAGCTTTCTTGAAAAATATTTTTAGCCATAATCAGAAATTAAAAATTATTGTTCTTGGGAGGGAAACGAAACCGTGTTGATATCTGAAAGGCCTCCTTCTGCAGTACCATACAGAAACTCTGTTGCCACTAGCTAATGCTATACACGAGAATCTGTTTAGTGTCTGCAAATAATGTACACTTTCCATAAGTAAAGAGAAGTAACGAAAAAGACGTTAGTACGTTAAGTAAACAGGTGAACTTCCAGTGGCTGATACTTTTCTTTGCTCAACTGAAATGAAGAAACGGAGCTAAATCAGTAGACAAATAGTTCCCAGCATGGTGTATATACTATCCCATTTTTTAGCCGCAACTCCAAATTAATTTGCACATTATCAATGGGATTTTATATCATAATACATGCTTGATACATAGATTTTCTAAACAAATCTCAAACTTAAAGAGTTCTAGATAGGTTTATTTTACCATTTTGGTCTCGGGGAAGATTGCACAAGTATTTCGGTAACCAAATTCTTCGAAAGCATCCTTCAAAACACAATCATTGATATCATAAGAAAAGTAAGTAAAATAAATTGTCATTGTGCACAAACTGAGAAATTAACAACACTAGTAAACAAAAAACTTGGAAGAATCAAAAATTGAAACCTATGGAAAATTAGCAAACTGTAATTAAGTAAAATTCTAAAATATCAAGTCATAGATTCTCACAATCTGCAAACTCTTGTTTCAAATTCTAGCTTGACCCCTTAAATTCAAGCAATCAAATTAACCTAAAAATCACTTGTCAGCTTCCTATACTGAATTCCACACGGATGGAATGAGATCAATTAAAATAAATGGAAAATAATAACAGAGGAGACTAACCTGTCACGCAATCCACGGGTGATTCAAAACACCTGCAGAGTTGAAAGATTTTCGCCTTTTTCAATTTGTCTTCACAATGATTAGTTCGATCATGAGGGAAGAAGTAGCAACAGAGATGCCGGCTCGGCATTAGCGGCAATGGCGGAGGCGGAGGTGGAGGCGAACGCGGCGGCGGAGGTACGGCGTCGAAGAGAAGTTATTATTCATAGAAAAGCCCTAATCGAAGGTTAGAGGGAGATTGTATCGGTCTGATTATAAATGAAAAATTGAGAGAAAAAAGTGATGTTAATAATTTATATATTATATAATTTATTTTTGTTGACGGTTTTTAAGCGTCGAGAATATTTTTAAAAGCGTCAAGAATTACTTTTACTTGACCGTGTTTGTGTGTCAAGATTAGATTCAAAAGCGTCAAGAAACGCACTTTATACGATGGTTTTGAAACCGTCGGGAATACAAAGCGTCGCAAAAGCCCTAAAATGTTGTAGTGACTTCTCGACTGTTTCACAGTCGACAGGCCGGTGCATATCCTCCGTACAGTTCCAGCAAAACACGTACGAGCAGTCGCACGTCACGTCGTAGTTTTTACACTCCCCCGATTCGATCTGGACCGCACGATCGCATCCAGGGCCAGGACACCACTTTATGGCCCCGTGGAGCTCCACGTAGGATCGGAGAAGGTATCGATTGTACTTCTCTTTCTCTTCTTCCGAAGCTAACAAGTCCATCATATCGGGCCCCACTAGGGCTTTGCATCCGGGCTCAGGGCAACACAAGGACAAGCATCCGGGCCCATCGTTTATCGAGAAAGTAACGTAGTTCTTCCAGCAGTCACCGCAAAAGTGGTGGCCGCACGCGGAAGACAACGTTTCTTTACCACCCTTGATTTTTTCCAGGCAAATCTTGCAGCGGCGGCTAGGGTTTAACGGTTCGGATTCGGATTTTCCCGGTGGCAATAACCCGACTGACTCGCGGACTTTTTCCTCGTCCGCGAACCATTTTTCCGAAACGGAGTCGGGTCGCCAATTGTAGTGGCGCAAGAGGGTGCACGCTAGGCCTCTCGAAACGGAGAGAAGGCCGCACACTTCGGAGATGTCTTTGTCTTGTAGCTGCCGGATGCTTTCTTCCGTGAGGGTTGTGTAATTTATTCGGCGGCGGCTGTCCACATCGCCGCCGTCGTCCTCCTCCACCTCCGGTCCGTCCTCGTTGTCCGAGAACAAGACTTCGTCGGAATATTCGCAGTAGAGATCGTCATCGGAATCCATTGCTAAAAAAATATTTTCTTATATCTGAGAATTGAATACCGATCCAAATTTCTGTGGCCGGCCGGCCCTTTAATTAAGGTATCGTCTTTTTGTTTTCTTTTTGCTTACGATAAATATTTAATATAGCGACGGTGGAAGATAAATAAAACCCTAGTGAGTCCTTCCTCCCTTTATAGGTACAACACCTACCTTCTTCGAGTACAACTCAATCATATAAATATTTACGGAGTAATTCTTAATTTAATTATTTATTGTTTGAGGAAAAACCCTATGTGTTAGAAGTCTATACTAGGAAGGATTTAAATAGGGGCGGATCTAGAACAAAATATTATTATATTAGGGAAGCGAAAAGGTTTCCGGGTTTCGGGGTAGCGGACTATTTATAATAAGTCAAGTTTGATTAGAGCATTAGCTCACATGTTAAAATAATTAATTAGCAATTAATCCTCTATGTTGTATATTATTGGCTTAATTCCACTTTGCACCATTGAAACAAATCAATAATACTTTGCACCCTCAAAACACAATATATCATGCATAATGCACCCAACATGAGTTTTAAAGATAATTTAATATTTTTAGTGGTATTAAAAAATTATATTTTAAGAAAAAAAAAATCATTCAGCTATTTCTTTATCAAGTTATCTGAAGTTCATACTTTCTTCAAATATTTTTACATAATATTTCACTAGTTACAATAAAAGATCTATCAATCGAATAATTTAGTGATAAAAGTTTATTTGATTTTATTTTGTAAGTGTTATATTTTTTTTCAATTATTCGGTGTGATTTTTATTTTTTCGCAATTTGTGCGCTCGAAATTAGGATGGAGGTTGAAGAAAATAACTATTTAATTTGTTCTTTTGCAACCCAAAAAAACAAAGCCAATAAAAATTGAATTATCATTTATTTTTCAAGTAAAGGTGCATTGTGAATGTTTTATTATATTTTAAGGGTGCAAAGTGCTATTATTGTTTTTCAAGGGTGTAAAGTGCCATAAGGTTCCATTCCAAATGGTGCAAAGCGGGATTAAGCTCATTTTATTTAGTTCACTGCCCACTAGTGGAAATAAATATGTTCACTAAAAGGGAGTGAATATATTACCCTTCAATTACTAACATAAAATTAATATTAATATATAATGGGGCAATTTGCTATATGTCCCTCTAAATTATAATTTATGTGTGTAGATCCAAGTCAAAATTTATATGTTTTAATAAATTAACTAGCAATTTTTCCACGTGCGATGCACGGGATATTATTTCAAAAGTGAAAAAAAATTAATTTAATATATAATAAGAAAATATAGTACACTAACATAGAAAATTTTAATAATGTAGTATTATTCCTATTTTATGTAAAATAAGTTTTTTTAATGTTACATATTAAGATTTATAATCCAAATATATAAATTAAGATTTAACAAATGAAATTTCTATTTTTATCTCTTAAGATTCGAGATATATTGATGAAAAATAGGAGATTCATAATTGTTGAAAATTATAGTTAGAAAATTAGTAGAGTTAAAAATATTAAAAATAAATAATTACGTAAATAATTAATTAAAATCAAATCCCAAAAAATCTCTCTATCAAAAAAAAAAAAATCCCAAAAATCTCTCTTCCAAATATTTTTGTCTTGA